TCCTTATTATGTATGAATTATGGAATATAATATAAATTTAATGCACTATAATTAAGGGTTTTTTAATTATACTATTTAGATAAACATTGTTTATCCGTTACATGAATAATTTGTATACCACTGACAATTTAGTGTAAAATCTATAAGAAGTATATATTTTATTTTAGTACACATATTATATATATTGGTAATCTACAATATCAAAGCATATATAATATATTATGTATTATTATTTTTATTTTATATTATATAATTTTACTATCAATTTGTTACAGCACATTTTTAATAAAAAATCAGGATCATTAATATTTTGTAGATTGAATATATTATATAAACTAATATACTATTATTGTATATTTTTCTTAATAATTAAAGTTAAATAATGAAATATGAAAATATAATAATCTCATATAACTCACATAATAGCACCATTTATTTGCAGAAACAGTTATTCGAAATATGCTGTAACTAAATAATATAAAAATTAATAGTTATATATTTATTTTAATTATAATACTAAATTATGTTACCTTAAAAAAATGATAAATCTTATAGATTTATTTTCCCTAATGATATTTGCATAGTAGTACATTATTAATATTATATATGCATTCCTTTTAGGTATGATCAATTAATGAATTTATAATATATATTTTATTATGTAAGATGATTATATTTTTTTTATTTACTTATTAAATATGTAGGAATACAGAAAAAGTGAATATATATTTGACAAATTTAATAGTAATCTTTTTAAAAAGGGAGCACGCTTTTTTAATTATTTTTTTATTTAATTCCTAAGTATTTAATTATCCAACTTCATATATTAATCAGGAGAGTGCATTTTTGTCCCATTAAAGTATAAAAGCCTGGTTCTAAATATAGCTATGAATTAATATATAATATAGATATAAACAAGAGGTATTTCTTAGATTCTACACTAATGAGTTAGCGGAAATATATGATATATATGACATATATTTTGTCATAATTTATGATATTATAAAAATGTTCTGTATTTGTTAAATATAACATTTTTAAATAAATGCCCTATAGGGTAGATTTGGTTTATTTAATTTTTTTTTAAAATGCATATTTAAATTAATTGCTTTATTTATGAAGTCTATATGTATGTTATATTTGCATTCATAAATATAAGAACCATATTTATAAGAACTATTTTTATAATCATAACATCATTAATAAATATTTTTATACACAAATATGAATTTATTGTAATATGTGAGATGAAATTCTACATAAAAATGAGATATATCATTATAATATATATTTAAATATATGCATTTATATGATTTTTAGTTAATAATATTTATAACGATATTTTTATTACATTTATTCCTAAGTTAAATAGAATATATATATACAAGCACAAATTTAACCTTTTTTATAAGGTGACTAATTAGACATTTGTATATTAATATCCAAACAAATTAAACTTCTATATTTTATTATATCCATATAATATAAAACAAATATCAAGAAAAAAATTTGAAATATATCAAGATTACTATATATATAAAGAAAAAAAAAAATATTTTAATCATATAATATTATTTTTATATTAAGTTACCAGGTAAATAGGATGTAGAATAATTGCCTATGAGTTTTAAATAATTATATATAAATAGTTGAACCTCTTTATCGGCGCATTTATATGCATACGTGTGTATGATGAATTTCATATTTTTCTATATAATATTGTATTATTAAAAAATATGTAGTGAAATTTCATAAAAGAACTGGAAGGAATACAAAAAAATAATGATAATATGTATCATTTTCAATTATACATATATGTGATGTGTTTATGAAGGATTGTGGTTACATTTTCAGTATTATATATATTTAGAGTAATTAAGAATGTCCTAAACTATTATTATACATATGATGTTACACAAATAATAATAACAGAATAATTATTATTTATACACATTTATAAAAAACAGATATAACCATCAAAAATTGATTTTTTTCCCTAGATTATGTAAATTATGGCACCTTAAAAATTTTGTAAAATATATATAACTAAAAATATGGGAAACACAGAAAAGGCCCTTGTTCCAAAAAGAACATTTGTTGTATTTTTATGTATAAAACGTCATAGAGGTAAAAAAATATTCACTAAAATATACATAATATGGAATACAGAAAATGCAATTTTCAGGTGTCTTAATAGAGAATTCACATTTATGTTAGTTTAACATGTCTGCCTTTAACCAAATTGTATATCACACACATTCTATAATATATATTTTTTCAGTATAAAAATCTATAAGTCAGAAAATATTATATTCTTTATTTATTTTTCTTTTAAATATTTTCTGAAAATTTATTCTAGGGGGTAAAATTTTTTTTAATTTTTGGTTTATATATTTTTTATTCAAAATTGTTTTTCATTATAAATCCAATAATAGGAATATATCCATTCAATAAAATTTTATTTTCCAGCGTTTATCCATTATATAGTAAATTGTTTAATGGAAATAAATATAACCTTAATTATGTGAAGTGTGTATATTTAAAATATTATCCCATATATATTTAAAGAGAATAGATATTGTTAAACAAATGTCAATAATTAATGTATCCTGAATAGTTAAATTTAACAAATATGCTTTTATACATTAAAAATTGTCGTACTAATATATAAATACATATCATCGTATATATAAGTCTTATTGTACAATATAACAAGAAGTAATAATTTATAAAATATTTAAGAATTCCTGAATATAACTAATTCAATGAATTATTGAATATATTTAATTTAATTGCTCTTTTCTAGACTATTATATATATCTGTAATTAGAACATCTAAATTATTTTATATAATATATATTCATAGAATACTTCTACGTATGATTTAGTTTAATTTTCATATATATTCATGTAATCTATAATACATTAATAATTATATTATAAAATATATATTATTAGACACCTTAAATGATATTATCGTATGGTCTTTTATGGAAATAACACACATTCATGTTTAAAGATCATAGGAACTAATAACATAGGACAAGATACATATATTTATGCGCAAATTTTGTTTATTATTTAATTTATAAAAAAAGAAAAAGAAAGCTTGTAATTTTCATTATTTATTATTTATTTCTTTAATTATTGCACCTCTTTTTCTTCTCGGTAAAGTAAGAATATGAAAAACATATACATAAATACATTAAATTATTGAGATATATATATTATACATGTTTTCTGTTAGCAGTTCAAATATCGTAAATATTTATAGAGAAAAGACAAGCGTTCTCATAAGACATGAAGATTTATGAAGATATTTTTTTTAAGTTAAATAAAATGTAAGGAATATAGCAATGTATTCAGAAAGATAAAACGGAATTACGATTTTATTATAGATTTTATAGTAAAAGCATAAAATATATTAACATTAAAAAAATTATATTTTTTATTTTTATATACTATTTTATGTTATTTTTTTCTAACGTTTACACTTTTTATACAATTTTTACATTTAATTCTAATATTTAATTCCTAATTTACCTTTTTTCATAGTACTTAGATTTTCATTTCAAAAATATATAGTATAATAGGTTCAAGTATTGACATATTTATTCTATTACATAATTATATTTTGATTCCATTGCAATATATATGACAAAATACATATATAATATTTAAATTATTTGTTAGTGAAAATTCGTAATATATTATGATGAATTAATATGTATATTTATGAATCATTATTAGATGAAAATAAATAGCCATTAAGAATAAAATAAATAATTTATAATAAAACATTTTATTTTACAAAATCCATGAGATTTAAAAAAGTTAAAAATTTCATACATAGTTTCAAACACAATATGCTTTATTGTCATAACTTAAAGGTTGTTATAATGAATTAAGTTAATATTCTTTTATCGTATAATTAATCTCACTATGTTATAGTTATTTATACACTTTAATAAAAATATACACAGAAGTATGCAATATTTCACATTGAAATTGTTTGTATTAATTAAACTCTGTTTATAAATTTTTAATTATAGTATAATTATAAATGACATTCAAAAAAATATTTTATTGTATACACTTAAGTTTACAAAAATATGAAGGTATTTATAATAGCTCCATATATATTTAAAAAAAAAATTTATGTAAATTATTAATTATAAATATATATTTTTTCAGATCGGATGAATATAAATTTAAAAATAGTTTTATTGATTTATATAATATCCAATTAAAAGAAGGTATATTAGAAGTAAATTCATATATTTTCTAATAATTATAATATGATGGTATACATAAAAAAAAAATAATTCATAATTTATTTAATATAGGGAATTAGAATATTATTATTAATATCAATAATATATGAATGGTACTTATCAAATATAAAATGGAAATGGAGCAAAACATAATAAATCCATTGAAAAATAAGATTTATTTTATAAAGTCTATTAAATATATTGTATTAACTAAAATAATGAGACCTGCTTTAATAAAGTGTACAAATTTATCGATATTAATGTAAATTAAGTAAATGAATATAAATATTTATATTTTGCTTATAATAAGGAATCCTAATAATATTTATTTTAATCAGTAGTATCTATGATGCATAGCATTAAATGTAGTATTAACAGAGAATATATTTTATAACTGTGTTATACGGTATAATATATATTATTAAGAATTCCGAATAATTAATTTCACACACAAATTGTAAATATCTTGAAATTCTTAAAATATATATATTCATATAATATATGCTTTGAGAAATTATATATCCATATTTCATAGAATATGGTGTTATAGTGATTAGATATTTTAAAAAAATATAAAGAATCATAAAAATAAATCTCTAATCATAAATAGTGCTATAATATGTACTTATGAATTTAATTAGGAAATTTTTATTTATTAGTAAACGCATAGAAAAATACATGATTAACTTATTTTCTTCTTTTATCACATTTTGATATTCTTTAATAATGATCGACTATCTAAGGGTATTTTTTTTATGTAGTAAAAATTACTGCTTATCATAATATACAATATTTCACTTTAAATTAATTATATAATTTTGTTTATTAATAAGAAATATATATATTATCTTTTGTCTAAAATTCATAGGAGGAAATACTTAAAATATTACCTTCAAAAATTAATTACACTATTTTCGATGATGCGAATGATAATTGTGATGGTGTTCATTTTTACGAAAGTGTAAAGAATCTCATAGATAAGAATACTACGAATAATGTTATTTCTGACAAAATAGTTAAAGCCTTATATTATGTGTATAAAAAAGATGAGGATATAGGTCTTGATACAGATGATTGTGATTATTTATACTTTTGGTTAGGTGATTTATTATATAAAAATTTAAAAAATAGAAGTTCATTTTACTCTATTATGATTATACTTATATTTTTATTGAAAAACGATGAAGGCCTGAGTATTTGTAAAAATAATAGTTATTATAATATAACTGATGATAATTTTGAAGATATGAAGATATTATTTGATTTTTCGAAAGATTATGATATTCTTAAAAATTATATTAATGAATATAATAAGTCTTGTGGTGATGCTTTTCAAATATATTTTGATGGTCTTGTAATAAAATATCAAGAGTTCAAAAACAAGTGTCGTGACTTAAGTATACGTAATGTGACTTGTAATGTATTTAATGATTTTTTTAATGGTATGAATATTGAAAACTTACTTAATTTGAGATGCACATCAATAGGAATTCTTCCTGATTCGATGGATGAACAATTACAAAGTGGAAGAACGGAAGAAGAACATGAAGAAGAAGCGTTACAAAAAATAGAGCCACAGTTACCTAAATATACTATGCAGTATGAGGTAGAGGGAGAAGAAGTTGTACAAATAGAAGATTCATTAACTGAGACATATGAGTATGTAGATAATCCAGGAAATATGGCAGAAGATAGACAATTAGATGCTTTAATAACGGAACATGAACATTCAGACGAAAGTACACGTAAGACATCAATTGAAGGACAGTCAAATATCCATACACAATCAGAAGAATCTCTATTGAGTATTAGAGATCCAATATTAAATGTCACTTCACATATTTCAAGTAATACCTTAGCTATTTCATCATCACAAAGTATGTACATTGCTCCATTTTTGATAGGAATTGCAGTTTTTTCTATTATACTGTACAAAGTAATTATATATGTTAATAAAGAAGAAATATGTATTATATTATATTTAATAAATTTTATTAATTATTATATAATATTACAAATATTATGTATAAAATATGTTCTACCTATAACCCATTTTCAATAGTTTAGTCCAGTAGGGTATTGGTTAAAAAAAAACTTAAAAAGAAAATCTAAAATGAAACGTAATTTTATAATGGATAGGAATGTAATAGAAGATTATACGTTTCCCAATGATATAGATTCACTGAGTAGATTCGATGTTACATACAGTAATATATAATTGTTCTTTATGTAACAAAAAAGGAATATTTTTGTCATATATATCTGTTTCAAGATGAATATATTTATACAAACATATTCATCCAACAAAAGAAAAATAATTATTTTTTTTTTGAATAATACAATAATAAATCTTAAATGAATATATTTATAATATAAACATGATTTTTTTTAAAATTATAACATTTTTATTTTTTCAGTAAGCATAAAAATATAGTAAAAATAATTCACATCCTATGTCCAAAATGTATGGTGATTCAGTATAAAGGTAAAATGCATGCGCTTGTTATTACATCTTAACATTTATTGTTAATATTTCAGCATATTATTCTTTTGAGAAACAAATAACATTTTTTTTTTTTTTGTTATATATATTTTTTTATTGTGACAATGAGCACTAGCAAAATATAATATATGATAAAATTGTTCGAATAAATATTTTATTTTCTTAATGATAATATTAATATTAACTATATTATTGTGTCAATACTTCAACATTATAATAAATTTATGAGCTCAGACTCTTGCTATATATTTCTTGCATATAATGATTAATACTTAATTATTTGTACAGATCATAAGTTATAATAACATTATAGACAATAGTATATACTTTTCTTTGTACTATTTATATATTTATCGTTTCCATTTTTTTTTTTATTCAAAAAATTGAATGCACATTTTTTTATGAACAAGTAAATATAGTATGTATATGAAAGTATTCATACTTATGTGTAAGAATATTTTTAATTAAAATAACTATTAGCGCAAGAGTTATTTATATTATACCTAATGTAAAAACTTAAATTTTTAAAATTTTATTAACTTAATTAAAAACATTAGAGATAATTATAATAAATTTCATATTAATATATATATATAATAGTTGTGTAACATTCACTATTCAAAATTTTCTTTTTGTATTTCATTACACTTAGTTGTAATTTAGCACTGCTGTAAGCATATAATTTTCTATATTTTTAATTTTTAGTGTATTCTATAATTTTTACAGTATGGATATTAATGCATATATATATTAAATATTGTATATATAAATATTAATTTTCTTATACTCATAATATATGTAAATGTCTTAATAATAATAGGTGATATATATTTATTAATATACATACGTTTTATTTTTTCTTCATCAAGTGAAAAAAATTGAATTCCTTTATTATTTGTCGTATTATAACATGCTTGAAATCAATATAAAGTTATTTCCGTATATATATTATTTTTTTATTTTTAGGTATTAATGATTTTGTTTAATTTTGTTTTGTTATTAATTATACAATATTAAAAGAATATATATGTGAGTATAATGATTATACTACACATTTACATCAATTGAATGTATTTATGGAAGAAAGACATTTTTATGAGCTTTAGTCTAGAATTTTTTTAGTTGATAATAGCTGATTTATTTGTAAATTAGAATTTATAACTAATGATAAATAATTTAAGTATATTAATTCCATGTGTAATATATATAAATATACTTTTTTTTTTTTACTGAAAAAGTTTTGAGGCAAATATATACTTTAATAAATAAAAAATTATGAAAATGTAATAAAGATAACATTTCATATATACTAAATATTGGTAAGATAATGAATTATCTGTATTTGCTAAAGATAATATGATAAATAACTGTAATAACTGCAATATATCATAAAGTTTGCATAAATATGACAATAGAAAAACCTTAAGCACTATATATCACTGCATATTTATTAGAACATCAGATAATTCTTAGTGTTAAAATGAAATAAAATAGTAGTATTCAATATATTCAACTAAAGTTTATGAATTATACCCATTATGTATTTTATATAATGAAATATAATAACATAATTATAACACTTTAATTAGATTAGAATTATTGTTTTACAAATATATTGGTATTATATGATCCTTTTCAAATTATTTTGTGTATGTTTAATATTGAATAGTATTAAAATTATAGTTTTATTATGTTTAGAATTATTTAAATTTATAGTGTAATGTTTTTTATTTATACACATTTATATAACTCAAATAAATTGATTTATATAGAATTAAAACTTAATTATGGGGATCTATCATCCACTATATTTTACTTTTACGTATATGTAAGAGAATATTCTCAGTATATAATCATTCATATTCAGCTTTTTCTTCTATTTATTTTATTTTGCATAGGATATTCGTTCATATTATATATTATGTTGAAATATAATTTATTCGGTTATATGTAGAGTATTTATTCCACACTCTTGCTTTAATCATATATAATAATCATATATTGAGTGTCAAAATGAAAATTTACGTAATATATTAATGTATTAAATATAATTCTCAATATTTTTGAATATGTAGATATAACAACTGTTAGTTTTCAATGAATATATGATTAACGTTATATAAAATGGAAATAAAAAAGAAAAATTAAGCAAGAGTGAAAATGAGATACTTATATGTGATGTAAAAATATGTTGTTACGATTCATAGTAGATTGCGATGCGGGACAGTTAAATATTACATTTTAGAGTGGGTGAAACTTATTTCTATAATCATACTCATAACATTGAGACATTTAGGAATTTTTTATGAACGTAAATCCTAGTAGAGTTATAAGAACAGTTCGTAACATGAGGAAATAATATAGGAATAAAAATAATAATAAAAAACATAAAATTACATATAAATTATTAAGGCAAAAGTTGAGGAATTTAAGGATAAAAATAAAAGACATTATAAAATATTAAAATATCAAGCTATGATTTTCCTGCATACAAGTATATTTAGATATATTCATTAATTATATAGTTTATGGTGATAATTATATGCTAGTATATTATGAAAATTTTGTTATAATTGATAAAAATAAGGAACATTATATATATCAAAATTAACGAATATTCCATAATATATCTATTTATATTTTCAAAAAGAAAGTACATATGATCATATGCATTAGTTTACATACTTTTTATTAGAAAATGCTGTATTAACCTAATTTGGTGAACAACCATGTTAAACATAAAAATTGTACTATGTAACATTTATACTGTATATAACTAAATATAAAATAATATTAAATGCTAAGAAAACTAACGATGAAATGTTGGAATTATGATTCAAATGATCAATCAACTTAATAATTATATACATAATCATTATAGACTTAATAATAACTTTAAAAAAATTAAATTGTATTTTTATTTAAATTTTTTTAAATAGCGAAATATGTATAGTGAAATTTATAGTACTAATACATAAAATATACATATTCTTCGCATTCATTAGAATACCAAAAAAAAGAATAAATTGAATGTGATGAAATCATTATTATGTTAATTATGAGTATAGCAAATAAATTGTATTTATCAATTTATGACATCATATATAAAAAAATAAATATAAAAATGATTCACATATTAGTAGCATTAAATAGGCGACAGTTAACATTCATATTATTAAAATATGAAAAAGGAATTAGATAAAGTGTTTTAGTTCATAAATATTAATTGATATATAAATTTTTATTTGACAATGAAATTTTCAACAAATTTACTTAGTAATATAGAATTATATGTATAAAAATGTATTATATACATGTTCTATTCAATTTTTATAAGGTGTATTATATGTCTTCGTAATTATGTATATATAATGCTATTATTTTATGTATAATATAATTTATTGTACCTTAAAGAAACCTTCACAAGCACTACATGACACTAAGACAAGAAATGCATGAATTGTACTGACGTTTCCTTATTAGGTTTAAACGTAAATGGATAATAAAATTATGGTTAATATTATATCATTTATTTTTTGAAACAAAATATTATTAATTTCCTTTTAAAACATTTATTTTTTTGTGCTTTATTACAAGATGATATACTTCATTTTTATTTAACATTATTAATAGAAACAATTTCCATATAAACGTCTTGAAACATTTTATATATTTTTTAAAAGGAATATTTATTTTTAGTAATTTACATAACGGTAACATTAGTCAATATTATATGATATATTATATCTATTATTCCATGAAATATTTCTGTTTATTTCTGATTGTTTCAATATGGAACATACAATATCAATATTTTTCCATTTATTTCTCATCCTTTGTAATTTTTGCTGAAAATATGAAGAATTTGACGCAAACTAATTCAGAATAAAAAAACATTTATGTACTAAAAATATAATTTTTTAATGATAATTTTTATTTTTTTTTTAAATCATTTAAAATTAATATTTTTTATTATAGTATGTATGAATAATTGTATAATAAACCTTAAAAACTAAAAAAATAAAAAGGAATATTAAGAGCATTACGATAATTGTAGTTATTATAGCTGCTTTAATATTATTTTTATATGTTGGAATGCTTTGTACTGAACTCTTTATATTTTCAGTTGTTTCTTTGACTGCAACACGTTCTTCAAATTTTGTTTTATATTCATTCAGTATATTTTTTAACGCTTCACAAATAACTTCGTCCTTTCTGTTTTTTATAATATCATGCATATCATTATGACATTTATACAATTCATTCAAGAAACTCAGTTTAAACATTTGTTCATCATTAATTTCTTCTTTATAATCTTTGCAAAACTGAATGCCAGTTAACTCTATACCATATTTGTTGGTCACGCGGTCATAAAGAGTTTTAGTGTGCTCATTTTTATTATTTGACTTAAGTTCATAATATATCCATGAATATAAGTACTTACAACCAACTTCCATTAATATATTCTTAGAATATGGCATTAATTTAGATAAAAATTACATAGCTTGGCCGCATAAGTTAAGCATATTTGGATCCTGAGATTTAAAAAGCTTTCCTATAATTTCTTCACAATATTTTTTCGTCTCCCTATATGAATTGTGCTTACAACTATCCATTATTGTTTTACATTTAGGAAATAATTTTAAAACATCATACTAAAAAATATAAATAAAATATATTATGATAAAAATTATATTTCAATTAGGACAATATCTTTGTTTATAGAAAATGGGGAATACAGAAATTATAATACTGTGATACATATTATAATTTTTTAAACATACAATTTTGTTATTCATATTATAGATTAATACATAATTTGGCTGATGATTTCGTCATAAATATAAAAATATTATGAAAGAAAAAATAATATTTAAAGATAAGAATACACATCATCAGGACTATTTTTGCTTTTACATAATAAAAGAGTAAATGAATAAATTAAATTATTCCTTAAATTATTAATTATTGTATTGCAAAAAATATTTCATTAACTATTTAAGGCAATTTATGTATACCCCTTATTATTTCAGGAATCAAAAAATAATATATTTTTTATTATTTATTAAAAACGTTTTGAGATTAACTTTTAATGTATTATAATAAATCTACAGTTTTATATTTAAATAAAAAAATTTCACTCATAAACTACGTTAGAGTAGATAGACAATAGTAATATGCAATATTAATTTGAATAGATATATATTTATGTATTTTTTTACGTTATTATATAATTTACAGTAATATATATAATTTAATATAAAAAGTATAAATTATTAGATTAAATAAAATTCAGCGTTCAAGATTCGTACATTGATAAATTTTTATATAAAAGAAATATCCATTTATTATAACAAAAAATATCCTAAATTATATTAATGATATCTAAGTTCAATACTGAAAATGCAAGAATATATTCACATTTTACTGGAAATAATAAGATTATAAGGATTATTTCAATATATATTTTTATATGTACGAACGTTTTTAATTAAACATATATATTGTGTGATTAATATTTTAAGTTCAAATTTATGTTTAGTGTTTAGGGTTCAGGTTGAGTATTAAGGTTTTATGTAAAGGCCATAATGGTTTACTTTTTCAGGTATACGGTATTATTGTCTAGTTTTTAGTTATATTTACTTTATTTTTATGTTTATTTTACTGGATTTAATTTTTGCTATGCATATTTATTTATATATGTATCATATTTTATTTTATATTTTGAAATTTATAATTTTTTATAAAGAATTTCATAATACATTTCATTACTTTATTGATATATATATTATTGTTGTATTCTCTAGAACAAATATATTTTATTTGTTTCTTTTTATTTCCTGATTTTTGAAATTACTAATATTGATGAATTATATATTTTTTTAATATTGAATAATTCGTAAAAAATTGATATATTGTGTAATTATATACATATCTATTTAATAAAAATAGGTATCTTTGTAATATATGTTAATATTTGTAATAAAAAATATTATGTTCAAGCTGCTATTCTATAAATTATATTATATATATGGGGAGAAGAAGTGTACATATATGTTGTGTCATTAAAAATATTTGGAATATTTAAAACATTTTATAGATATCAGAAATAGCACATTGTTATCATGAACATGAAGAAATAATGAAATATTTTAAAAAAAAAATATTTTTTTTAGTTAATACATAATTTATTTAAATAGCATATCTTACAAATAACATCTTATGTTTTGAATCGTATTAAATACCTATTATTTATATATATTGAACAATATAAGAACTCATTTCAATTTATGCTATGAATTATAGCAGTGTTTTTTTACATATTTTGTTGTCATTTATGTAATTATTTTTAAGAATTTATTTAATGATTCACAATAAACAGGTTAATGATTAATTAAAAATTGAATTCTTTTAAAATGTATATAATCTGTTTAATATTAAAATATTTCATATTTAACAGATGAAAATATTGAATGTTGAAAAATATTAAACTAGAGATATTTTTAATTTTCAAAGGACATATAATTATATTTACAATATTCACAAGATAAAATGGGAAATGTTTGGTTTTATGTTTATATGTATATTCATTTAGCATTAAACATGTATCACATTTTACATATATTATACGCCCTGATTAAAGTATATAAATATTTAATGAATAATAAATTATAATGTCTGTTATAAATAATAAATATAAAAATACATCTTCTTTTAATCATTGCAGAATATAGTTTAGCAAATTAGAACATATTATGTTTATGAAGAAATAATTTAATTATAATTTTTTTTTCGAGTGTATATATTATTAAGTTCGCATAATGTACATAATATGGAAAAATACATTCCATCATAATTTATATATAAATTTTTGCATTCTAGTTATAAAAACATATTATGATCATTTGTTAAAAAAAATATAAGGCTATTCTTAAAGTCTTTGCATATATTTAAACGTCCTATAATATGCACATATATAACAATGAAATGCCGTTATATATGCTTTTAAATTTAGCAAAAATTGAATGAATTATGAATATCAATGAACTGAAAGTTATTTATTCATTAATTACAGACTAAAAAAATAATTATATTACTTATATGATTAATTATATATAAGCATCGCGTACGTATAATATTAATTATTTATATAATAAGTAATAATTCATAATAGTTTATTAGACTTTTAGATCTAGAATAATCCTAATATGTAATTTATAATATCTTTTTTA